TTTTGTAGAGGGTCCACCACTTTCTTGACTCTATGTTGTTTTTTTCCTGAAATGTTTTACAGCATGGTATTTCATTTAATTATGTCTATGGAGACAAGCAGGCCACTTCACCAGGCCAAGTTACAGGTCAGATCTATGCAGATGTGCCTGCTCACAGTAAGAATGCAAGTTTTTGCTGTTGTTTTGAGAAACAAAAGCTTAAACGTGATCTATAATTGAATAAAGGCAAGATATATTTGCTTAATGGCATGCTGAGGAACATCCCAGGCAAAGCAATAACATCACCATAAACCAGCAAAGCAGGCAGATGGCAGACCGTCCACCAGAAAAGGTACATAGTGCACCACAAATCCAAAACTAAGGGTGGCCCATAGTTGCAGCATAATGAGCATATATAATTAAATGCTATACCTGAAGTTAAATTTCAGAATAATATTTAATTCTCCTTTTATTTCCTACTCTAAATGAATGGGAACATGCTGGCTGCTGTACATAGTTTTTAAAAGTTGTGTTAAGTATTATGTAACATGTTTGCAGACCTTTGACCGTCCACCTGTTAGGATTAAGTGTGTACCCGGGGGGGGGGCTGGAGGGCCCAGCCAGTTCCTGTAGTGTAGTGGTTATCACATTCGCCTAACACGCGAAAGGTCCTCGGTTCGAAACCGGGCAGGAACAGCACTTTTTCAGCAGGAAGTAGGAAGAGAGTGTTAAGAGAAGCAAGAAAGTAACCACAACATTGTGTCACTGGGAATGTACTGTAAATGGGTGTTTAATGTGTAATCAGAGCGTTCTTAACGGGTCCATATTGCACTGCTATGTCTCTGGCTATGTTTCATTCACACGTATTTAACGCAACAAATCTTGCACATTTAGGCAGAGTTTTTCTCTCCAACAGAAAGCATTCTGTTCCACCTTGTGATGTGGTAATACAGGAAGTGCTTCACTGTATTTTTAAACTCCATACACCTCCACTAGAATCATTTGGATACTTTCAGCCCTTAAATTACCTCGAAAGGTAAAAGTGTAGCTGTTAACTTGAAATCTTCCACTCCATGACATCACAAGGTGGTACAGAGTATTTTGAACTTTGGGGATGCAGACAGCCCAGTAATTCATCATTACTTACTGTGAATGAAACAAAACACAACTCTTTGCTGATGTAACAACATTCTAACATGGCTTAAAGCTCACAAGAGTCAATTTTGCGTAATATAGGACCTTCAGTGTTTTAAACCAATATACTGGGGATTTTTTCATCAATTCTTTGTTGTGTAGAAATAATTGGTTGGGTTGAGGGAACATCACAATTTCACCATTGTCCACTATTGTGGACACGATGACCAAACAACAGTGAAAACTCAGGGTGACACTTTATATTTAGGGTTACTTGTTTGGAATATACTAGTGCTGGATGGAAACTGCTAAATATAGATTTTAAAATTATCCTTTTTCATTTGTTACACTTATTTTGTCTTGACCTCTCTTGACCTCAGGTTTCAGTTAATTCTAGGAAGACTTTGAGGCTGTGTAAAAACTACAGCTGAACTTTTCTCCTCTGTCCTGGGGCACATGACAGTCTGTGCGTTTGATCCTGTACACATGATACTGCAAACTGTACCGATGACGGACATCTAGAGCGGAAGAGATGCACAAGTGAACCTTCTGTTTCCTTGCACTCTATAAATGGACTGCACTACATCATCTGAGGCCCATATGTGTTTAGCTGCACAGTTTTAGCTGGAGGAGAGCGAGGACAGGGTTATATGTGCGTAAGCATAAAGCGGTCAGGTTTAGTAGGCTATAAATGGAGTAACAGGGTTTTTTAAGCTGAGCCCACAACACTAGCTTCATTTCTCTCTCTTTGAAAATATAACAAGGGGAATAAGGGGTGGGTGATATGGTCAAAAATCACTATAATTTCAAAATACAATTTTGATTTTATCCCCATTCATGTAGTTAGTATCTTTTTACGTGTGATTAAGGGGTATCTTAGGTCATCTGTTTCTTCAAAGAGTTTATACTTCACTGTGATTGGTTGAATCCACCTGTCACTTTTTTTAGAACATGACCAGGCCTACCAGTAGGAGTAGGTGGGGGGAAAGTCTGAGCATAGAGCAGCATAAGACATTAGATTTTTTTTTTTTTTTCTTTATATACATCCTTTAATAAAGTGAATCCTCTAGCTAAGGTAGTCCTGACCAAGCCTAACTTAAAATCTGGAGATGGGTCCCCGAGCACGGTGGCGCTCACAGCTCCTGACAGGCTGTTTGAAGGATGGGCCAAATCCAGAGGACAAATTTCCAAGAGGCAAATTTCCATGTGGGGACAGTAAAGTGTACCTCAACTTTAACCTCAATTCATCAACAGTTCAGATTATTTCCAAAAAGGCCTGAGGATGTCTTAACTAAACCACAAGCTTTTTACTTTAATATCCTTCTAGACCATACGGGACAAGCTCATCTGGTCTTGATCCCATCCGAGCATTCCTGGAACTGTGGGCCAACAAAGGAAACTGGTCACTGACTGACATATCGCTTTGAAATGGGATGAAAGATGGACCGAAACTTAGCTTTGTTTCCTAGAGTTGTGGAAATCATAAAAAATACTAGATTTAGGCATTTTTGTGGCAATAAATTACCAAGTTAACTGCATAAATCTTTTTGTATGCATTTTTTTTTTTTTGCCTTATGCCAAATAGGGCAAATGATGAATTTTTATGCTTATTTTAGAGAGGTTCATCAATTACATAATTAATTGCTGACTAATCACAACGTATGGATATTATGCTTTGTCTAGTTTAAACTGCATGGTCCAATTTTGACAAGAATTGCAATGTCAAATGTCAATAAAGGGACTTGGATCCTGGATCACTAATTTTGTAATATGCAGATTCAAAGATAAAGCTATAGTCCAGTCTTACTCGTTCAACTTAAAGAGGGATCATCCAATACTATGTGTGTGTCAGAGATGGAGAATACTATTATGGATAAATTATTTTTATAAAGCTCTCTTTGAATACTTTTTGCTGTGTCTGTATATATTATTTAGACAACATTCATAAGTACTTTCCTGACCTGCCAGATATCACCAGGGCTGCTCTACCTGCTGCTGCCTCCTGCTGCGCTTTGTGCTCGGCTGCCATCCTGAATTAGACTTCAAATATTCTTTGTTTGAAACTACCACCTGCCTGCACGCCATTACACGACCCCATCTAACCTTTCTGTACTGCTATATCCTGTTTTCATGCAACTGTTTGTTATTATATACAGCATGGCATCACAACATTCAGAATGCCTATAGTTTAAAATTCAGCTGGAGGACAGATCAGAATTATCTGGTGGTGGTTTAATTGTCAGATTGCAGTTTGATGTCTCTGTAATTACTGGGCCAATCCACAAGAAACAAAAATTTGCATGAAGTTCAACAAGACTGAGACTTTATTGATCCAGAAAGGAAATTATTTGGACACAGTAGCTCACAATATATTATAATAACAAAGAGCAAAAAATATAAATGTAACAATATATTCAAAATAAGTAGCAAAAATAACAAATAACAGAGCCTAATGTCAAATAAGGCATAATTATATAAATGTATATGTACAAAAATATACAAATATATCTCAGCAATATACAAAAGTGAAATTCTAGTTTTACAATAACTTCAAAAAGTAGTGCCATTATTCAACCCTAAAGATGTGATAATATTGCAAGTTTGTGGAGCTAAAACAACAGATCCAACATTTCTGGAGCATGTGTTTAGATATTTCTTCCAAAACACATTAAAGCTCCCATACTTATATAGACCCCTGCCTACTATACTAGATTGTGAACCTAACCTAATTGGTCAATTTCTGAAGTTCAGACCTGATTTCCAAGTACAAGGAACAAGACCGAAAACACCAAGAATGTTTTAATAAAGGCCGGCTACAGTTCTGAGAGGGTCAGTGAGTGTACCACATCCTTTTTGTTTTTACAACCCTATTTGAGCACATTCATTTTTAATCAGGTTTTTGGGAAATTGGACATTAGTGGGGAGGGGGACATTTTGGGGTTACACAAGGCGTCTTCTCGGCCGGCGCTGGACTCAATTGTGGCATTTACCTGTCCCCTGTTCTTGAACCCAAATCCTGCTGGGAGCGAGCAGACCTTCAAAAGAATGTGTGAAAGTGTTGCCAAATGGATTTTTTACGAGGTAATGAAATACGCTCCCGGAGAACTTTTAATGGCTGCTGACAATAAGAGAAGTGTGCTGCTCTTGTGCCTAGCCAACAATCATTATCATTGTCTAAGTTCATCACTATGGAGAATGATAAAACTAAAACAGACAATAAAAAAGACATTAGCAGTTGGGATGAGAGAGCCTACTTAAAACAACAGCAACATCCATCTACCAGCGAGCATCATGGGAAGTGTGTGTGTTAATCTTATGAGGATACATTAGGGGTAGCAGTCATTTTGAAGTAGTTTTGTAGTAATCGTAGTAGTAAACTTGCAAATCCCACAACCTATGCTAGACTTTGATCTGAGAGGTTAGAATAATGTGCCATTCAAAGGTGAACTCTACCCACAGGCGACATCATGTTTACCTCTTGACTTCAGCCTAAACTTCACACTCTGAATCCTCTGCTTATGCAAGAGGCTGCAGTGTACAAGTGCCCACAGTGATGTATTTCTCAACGTGCCTTGGTGTAACAGTGAGGGGGCAAGAAAAGGGGGCAGGGGGTTGAGAATGCAGTTCTTGTAGTGTAGTGATTATCACATTTGCCTAACACGCGAAAGGTCCTTGGTTTGAAACCGGGCAGGAACAACTGATTTTCCTTTGAGGAAAACCATGTATTTGACCACTGTTGGAATAAGGACCTGTTGGTGTAGAGACTGTTACAATACAACTGTACAAACTAAAGATCTGATAAATCAGTGTAAATGTGGAAAATGTGATTCAGGTTTGAACTTTCCCATAGAAATAAAATATCTTCTTCTTTCTTTTTTGTTTTTCAGCTCGATCCTCAGACGGTGCAGTCCAAGAACTGGCATATGGACGTCATAGAGATGAATGGGGTGAGAAAGAATCACAATAACTTACAATGTATTCACTTGTGAAAATCATTTGGCTGCATTAAGAAAAAAAAAAATCATATTAACACTAACCATCAATTAGTCATTAGATCACAAAAGTCTTATGAGTGAGATCACTGCCCCCACACCCCATTCCATGTTTGCTTTGCTGGTCTAAACCAGTTTAAATGTTGTAGTGAGTTATAAATTCAAAGGCAAAAAAACTAAAGAATATATTCTTGAAACAAAAATATTTATTATTATAATTTTAGTAAATAATAACAATAAATGATTGCTTAATGGACATTGACTAATAGACATGATTTGTTATTCTCTTGATGCACTGCAGTATTATCTTAAATGTTTCAAGAGGTCATAGAGTTCACTTTCTCACTGGCAGTTTGTTTTGTTTTTATGAATCAACAGATCAAAGTGGAATTTTCCATGAAGTTTACAAGTCGAGACCTCAGCTTGAAGAGAACGCCCTCCAAAAAACAGAGTGGGGTGTTTGGAGTCAAAATCAACGTAGTGACAAAGTGCGTGTAGCCTACATAGAGATCTGTGTTCAGTGAACATGACTGTGGTTTAACGGTGCACTTCTCCACAGGCGTGAACGCTCCAAAGTGCCTTACATCGTCCGACAGTGCATTGAGGAGGTGGAGAAGAGGGGCATCGATGAAGTGGGGATCTACAGGATCTCAGGGGTGGCCACAGACATCCAGGCTCTCAAACTGGCCTTTGACACAAGTAAGGCATCACTTCTAACTTCTCTGCACAAGAGTTATTTTGTTTTTTTGCATCATCAAAATATTTTATACCCCAGTAGTATTTTTATGTGTTTAAAGAGAACTGAAGATACCAAAGACCACCATGAAACTAAGAAGCAATTACAACAGTGAAGTTTAGACCACTGTTAATTTAAACCCAAATATATAAACACAGTGATAAGCCTGTCATTATCCAGGGGGAGCCCAAACTGAGGTCCATACATGACACTCTCATTATATGACCTATTGTTGGGGAAGGTTCTTTTTTTTTTTATCTAGTTCTTGTAGTGTAGTGGTTATCAGATTTACCTCACATGTGAAAGGTCCCTGGTTTGAAACTGGGTGAGAACAGCTGTTTTTCATGTTTATTTCTACGTCTAAATGAACCTGCATCATCTGCAAACAAAAAATAAATAATAACAATTTGCTGTGTTGTAAATATGCATTTCTTATATTCCACAGTTTGTACCCACAGCTGATGCACTTCAATTTGTACAAATTGTTGCCTAATTTGTTTATTCATATCCTATGATCGATGGCATTAATGCTTTTTTTAATTCAAATATACCAGCTACCTAGAGCTTTGACTGTATACATTTTGAATTATTCAAAAAACTTTAACATGGTGGTGCTCTGTGCCTTTTCTGTCTACCTTTTGTTTCTAAGCATTGTGTTCATTCATGTAGATACCAAAGACATACTAATGATGCTGAGTGACATGGACATCAATGCCATTGCTGGGACACTGAAGCTGTACTTCAGGGAGCTGCCTGAACCTCTGCTCACCGACCGCCTCTACCCTGCCTTCATGGAGGGCATAGGTATGTATGACCTTTGACCCCATAAACATAAATCTGACCAATGAAGTGTGTGCTACATGGTCATTGAGACATTTAGCAGTTTTAGCATCTGAGAGCTATAAAAACTGATGTTAAAATGCTGTGATGGTATTTGTGTCTGACATGTATTTCCTGCCTCATGCAGCTCTTTCAGATCCAGCTGCCAAGGAGAACTGTATGATGCACCTCCTCCGCTCTCTGCCCGACCCCAACCTCATGACCTTCCTCACTCTGCTGGAGCATCTCAAACGGTACTGGACACAGCAGAGGAATCATGATGTTCTGTGGAATTTGATTTTGTAATTTTAACTTGATTCTATTTCTGCAGAGTGGCCGAGAAGGAGCCTATAAATAAGATGTCCCTCCATAATCTGGCCACTGTGTTCGGCCCCACACTGCTCAGGCCCTCTGAGTCTGAGAGCACCAAGGGACAGCACATCACCTCAGCCTCAGACATATGGTCACATGACGTCATGGCCCAGGTAACACTCAAGCCTCAAGTCTCATTACAAAAAACACATCAATAGTTTTCAAAGACTCATTTACATTGTGTTATGATCCAACATTACTGTACAGAAACAGTTTTATTCTATGTAAAAAACTTTTTTTATTTTTTTTTACAACACATTCATTAGAAATAATGCTTGAACATTGTTGGAAAAACACATTTACCTTTCCTTTTGAATGTAAGTCTTTTGTCTGTAATCCTCAAGCCCAAGGAAACTGACAAACATACTCAGCACTGCAGTAATCAGAAAGTCCAGGTGCTGAGCTGCATGCCTGCTTTATGGCTGTGTGTGTGTGTGTGTGTGTGTGTGTGTGTGTGTGTGTGTGTGTGTGTGTGTGTGTGTGTGTGTGCGTGTGTACGTGCGTGCGTGGGTGGTGGGGTGGTGGGGGGTGGGTTTCTTAGCCGGTTCTTGTAGTGTAGTGGTTATCACGTTCGCCTCACACGCGAAAGGTCCCCGGTTTGAAACCGGGCGAGAACAGCTGTTTTGGCTTCCATAAGTATTAATTATACAAGTCCATAGTTCTCAGACAGTGTGCAGAAGTGGTTCAAGTGGCTTACAATAGTGACACAAATACATATAAATACATACGTTTTCCTACATGGTCTGAATACCGATCACCTGAAAAAGCACATCTTCCTTTAAAAGCATAGATGTTAATGTATGTAATAACATTGTAATAGGTAACAGCAAACATATTTTCCGAAATGGAAAATAATCATAAAAACAACAAATCAAAATGAGCTTAATGTTTTAACTCCCTTCATTATTAAAAAAAATCCTCCCACGGTGCTCAGTGACCCATGTCCCGCAGCTCACTCTCCCAGCTGTATTTAGGCTGTTGTCTCTCTGTTCATCTGCTCAGATATGCATTTCCTGTGTAAACATGGCTTTTCGTGGGAAGAGTAAACAACATCCGGACTAAATCATTCTAAAACAGTATTAGGAATTTTCAGAGGCAGGGACTCTCTTTATATGGGTGTCCAGTTTATATTTTGTAGCTTAATTTTCTTCCAGGTGTTTAGTACAGAGCTATACAGCACGTGGAACTGACTTTAAATCAATATTGGCTTATATTTGAAACAGTGTACTTTCAGCTGGTACTCATTACAGTGTACTTTCAGCTGGTACTAGAAATTACACCACAATTATTATGTTTTAATACATTTTACACACACAAACTGTGGAAGTTTATTGAATGTATTTTCATGTTTTTTAGGTCCAGGTGCTACTGTATTACCTCCAGCATCCGCCCATCTCCTTCGCTGAGCTGAAACGCAGCACGCTTTACTATTCCACTGATGTGTAACTCAGCCACCACCACCTGTCCCCTGTAGGGTGCAGCATTTGTGGACGAGAAAGAAATGGAGTAGAGCTGCAGGACAAAGCTCTTCTCCACACTGTACAGATCCCCTCCAGGTCCACACCAAGATGCGCCAGAAAACACACATACATTTTCTATGGTCCCCTGTTTGTAAATGTGAGGACACAAAGGGCATTCTGGGACCATAATGTAAACCTGTCACAAAAATGTGCTCTTTAAAGACTGAAACTTCTGGTGTTTCCTGTTCAGATGCATTCCAGAGTAATTTTCATGTTTTTAAATATGTTTCCCCATCTGAGTTTGTGCATGTGGAGGAAGTGTGAGTGACAATATGGATGTACACTTGCAAGAATGCGTGTCTCAAGGACTGGACAGTGGTAATAACTGCTGTTGTTGATGTGAGAGCCCCACTGGCCAAATTACCCCTATTTATTTTAAATATATATAATATGTGTGCCTGTACAGTTGTGCAACTAGAGAAATGCTCTAAGGAGTCTGTTTTTGAAGTTTATTCAGGTAGTGATGTTCTTTTTTAGTCTAATCTTTTTCATTCACCATGTACATGATTGGTAAGCTGTACTGAAAGGATCACCTGCCAGTTTAATTTTGCAATCACTAAGTAGAGAATGACGGGCACTCTGATACAAGGGTTTTGGGGAAATAACACAATGAATGGAACATTTAGCTTTTTCTTGTTGTTGCATTGCAAGCCTGTTCCAAGTGTCTTACTGCACTGGTGTAATCTCTAGGATGGTTGTGTAGTTTCCTTCGTGCATGTTCAGCTTGTCAATCGAGCCAGGCACGGTAACACAAAGGTGGGTTGTCTCTGTGAGGCTAAACCTGTCTGCTCTGTAAAAAGCCAACCTTTTTGCTATCAAGCCTGTGACATATCTACCAATACTGTAAGCACTGCTAGATGAGTACTATTTGATATTTTTAATATAAGATTAAAATAAAATAAAAATGTTGTATTTTACTTCCTTTGGGAAGAATTTCAATATACTGTAATACCGAGGCTAAATGTTAATGTGAACTTTCTCCCCTTTTTAGTAAAATTAAAGTTACCAAAACACTGTACAACCTGTCTGTGCATTCATGTGGTGTCATTACTCCTTTTTTAAATCAGCAATGTATGGGTCAAGGTTTTTAAATAAAGGTTTAGTGCACCCCCTGGTGACCATGTAGCTAGTTACAACACAAATCCAAAGTGCAGAAAATTCAAAGCTGTGTGGAATCTACATTGACTTCGTAAACAAATATTCATTCTTAAATTAATGTTTATTTACAAACAACTTAATTTTACACAATAACTTTAACAGTAGTGATTGTTCATTCAAGAGCTCATGAAGCAGTGGATCACTTTGAAACAACTTGCTGAATGGGACCTTAGACTTCAGATAATACAACAGTGCTTTCTCTATCCAGTTAACTGCTTCAAAGAGACAATAGCACCATCTGCTGGTAATCTGTTAGACTGCATATGGTTGGGACCGAAACAAAATCCAAGTGTTCTGAAGGAGCCTAGTTTAATGTTTAACACTGAAAATATTTATACAAAGATAAACTATAGCCTTACATGAGTACTGTGTGCTGTTCCTTTTCCATATTTTACCATTTCGCCAAATATAGATCTTGAGCAAAGCATCACTACTGCACATATTTTGCACATCATCGCAAAGATCTGCAAATAATCCACAAAATACATAAAACTTTTAAAACAAATATGTAAAAAAAATAATCACATAGCACTTATTCTTATAGTCTTTTACAGTCACATAGTGTAAATAGAGCATCAGAAAGAGGTAATTTCCAAATGTATCCAAAAAGATCATTGTTGAGCAAGTGCTTCCTTTGAGGTTCCAGGGAAGTCTTCACTTTTGAGTCTTTTCAGGACTGGACAGAAATGGACCAGAGATACCTCCTCAACACATCCCAACAGAAGTCTTGATATATGATAATAGTCTATTTTGCCACAATCTTCATCGTAAATAATATTCAATGGCAGCAGAGAATGCAGCAAATCCTCCACATCCAAGAACTCCAGCTTTTAGCCCAGCTGCAAAAACATGTGCACACATAAGCAAAAACATAATGCATGTAGATACGGCACTGTAAATAGTCATTATATTTACCTCTGAACCCAATGGCTCCCCCAGTTACACATCCACTGTATACAGCATTCTTCCAGTCTGATACACCTCTATGCTGCAGGAAAGAAAACAGTTATCATTTTCATTGTGACTTGTGTTCGGCTGATTTTGCATTTGGTTTTATTCAAGCTTTACACATTAGAGGGCGTTATTACACCACAAAAGCAGCAGGGGAATAATCTATTAAAGAGTTACCTTTGATAGAGACATGCCCTCTTTGAGAACAAGTGCAGAAACACGTGCATCAGGGAAATAAATTAAACTTACTGACTCGATGATGCACTCAGTACAAGAGAACATTGCACCAACGATGGCAAAGTTCTTGGCGTAGGACATGCCCCTCTGCCCCATGTCTTTGAGCACTTCTCGTGCTGTTGGTGTCCTCAGAGGGTCTTTTGGGTCGAACCCGACGTTAGTATCGATACCTGCCGTGAAAACTCCAAACGCTCCCCCAAGGACAAAACCTGGAGGATGTGAAAACAACTCATTACCTAGACCGTCAAGGCTTTTCCTGACTGTAGGAACTGGCTTGGTCGGATAACAGAGAAATGTTGAGGACCCTCTCCGATTCAAATGCCCCCCAGAGTTGCAAGTTAAGTTAAGCAAAACCAGAAAATGCAGACATACCTCCAACACAAGCCAGAAGAGACTTGAAGGCGCAGCTCTCCATGCCTCTCTCGATCATCTTCTGCTCGTCAGTCTTGGGGGGTACAGGCAGACCTCCCATAACCGCGGGGTTCAGGTCCTTCACGGGCCTCTTCTCCCCAATAAGGTGCTCCAGGACCATACTGTACTGGATTTCAGGGCCATTCGCCGCAGAAGCAGCCGAAATTGGACTCGACGCATCAGAAGCGGCAGCAGCACTCGCGTTGTCTGTGGAGGCCGCCATGTTTCTCAATGACAGCGGCAGAGAAACGGAACTTGAATAAGCGCCCGCAGATTCGTAGCACCCAAACCTACAAAGAAAAACTTGAACAAAACTGTGTTACTTTAAAATGAAATCATTGTAATGAAAATATTGTATTAATGTGAAGTTATAAGTACAATAATTGATTTTTTCACGAAACTTTCATCCATTAGCATACTCAACATTATTTTACTAAATAATCCAAATATATCTAAATTAACTATTTAAAAACGTTTTTGTCTTTGTAGTTCAACTGTATCCGATTCGTGAACAAACTGTATTTGCCTTTGAAAATATAATTTTTTTACTACAATTCTGCAAAACACTGAGAAAGAGCTCTTTGATTCAGTTTGGATAGACATTTTTAAAAATACGTTATGTAATGTGTATAACTCTTTTAAATTAAACCAAAAATATAAATGTTGTTTTAAAACAAACATTAAAACTACATTTCCCAGATGTCTGTTGGAGCACTGCGCCAAACTCCCTCCGTCTCGGGCTCCACCTACCGGCCGCAGCAGTGACACTGTTCCGTGAGTCTAATGAGCACTGAGCAGCATCCACATCAAGAAGCAGCACCCACACACCGCAGCGCTGAACAGGTGAGGACAAGCAGCTAATGGCTAATTTCCCGCGTTATTTACGTCTCCTTTTTATTTTTCAATCACTTATCTAATTGCTTGTTTGATTAGCAGAACCTGTCATTAAGGGCGTAATCGTGTAGTGTCTAGGAAACCACGCACACCGCCAAAACTGTCCTGACAGCTCGCTGGGTTACCACATTAATTTCCCTTTTCCCGTGTGTCCTCTAAATGTAACTGTACTCCAATGACAAGTAAATTACAGGCAAATCAAATAGTGTACATTGATCTGTCGTGCCATTGGCTTTGATGAAAACGTTTGTTAATTAAACGCGGCATCATAGTTTTAAGCTTTTAGCACTCATAGTCAAGTACAGACGCTAAACAGCCTTGAGTTCAACAGGATGCCTTGCGGTGACTCAGATTGCGAAAATAAATAAAAAACATCATCTCTATGCAAGCGTCTCTCAGACAGTGGTACGTGTAATCCTTTGAAGTTATCATATTTGCTCAATTTAAAGTCAATTTATTCCACATTTTCTCCTCCTGTTGATAACTCTGTGGTTAAAACTAGTCATGCAGTGCAGTAAAGTCATATTTTAGTTGTTAGTTATGATTTTACCCTAATTTAGACCATAGTCCCGTTTTAGATCTGGTTCTGATTTGGTGGTACTCAGAAAACGAAATATTTTCAACTTGGTGTGAAAAGTTTGAGAACTGCCTTGGACATTTTTGTTGCTTCTCACTGTAACAGTAGAAATAGACTATTAAGCGTATGCAGTTTACAGTTAGATCTGTTAAATGCTTTTTTTTGCTATTTTATTAAAGAAAACTGTATAAAAATACTAGTATTCCTTTACAGGCTATGCTTTATAATAAGAAGTTGTTGAACACCAATTACGGCTTAAGAAAATATTTAGTCTTCCGGGTACAACCTGATCTAAACCAGGTCTAAACCAGGATTATAAGGTATAAACTTGGGCTAAACCAGGTCTAAAGTAGGACCACACCACTGCTATACAACTTCTAAACAAGTACTAACCAAAACTTGGATTAATTTGACTCTAAATTCAAGTATAATAGATCAGCGGCGGAATCTGAAGGAGCTCATGTACCATAGTTTGAGAAACACAGCTGTATGCCTTATCCATGTATGTCTTACAGTGAATATTTCCCTGGGTCATTGCACAGTCAGGTAGGTTTTCTTTGGAGACTTCAGTGCGCTGCCAGCACTTTCTCTTCACATGATCAGCGAGCATTTGTTCCTCATTAGCTCTGTGCCACGTGAAGCTACAAGACTTGGTTGTGTTTTCAGTTTTAATCATCTGCAAATGTTTGTTGTTTACGTGTTATGGGTCTTTAAATGCTTCATTATGGCACTTAGGCCTGACTAAGCTTCTGTGTACTGCTGCCACATTGAGAATGACTTGTTAACTCTGCGGAAATACTGGACCACTGCTATGCGTTGGAATACAAGGAAAAGTAGGCGGGATATCGTAAAACTAATCAAATTGCAATTGGTGTTCTGGGGATATGCAGCATTACAATATTGAGTATAATAAAATGAACAGAAAAGTCTAGTGTAGTCTTCCAAACAAAGGTATAATGATATTACCCCAGTTTTGGGGTTAATTTTATTGTGCATTTTTGTTTAGTGAGATACTTGAATATCAATCAAGACATTTCCAGGCACATTTAAGCACATTTCTGAAGCTTTATTAACATATTGTCTGAATATTGTTATCAAGATAATGCAAAATAATAAGATTTTGTCAATATTGGTCATCCCTATAATGAAAAGTGAAATAGATTAAGACAAATTACTGGAGTATATTTTATTTTTATGCCTCACAACAGTAGTTTTAAAAGCCTTCAAACATAAACCTACAGACACTATGTAGAATCTATAATGTTACATAACTGCACCTTTTCTCCTCATAGTTAACCATCCAAAAAGGAGAAATAGTGTGAAATATACATAGCTGGCTCCAGGCTTTGCACAGACTGTCCTAGACACAGATCTCAAAGCGAGGCCAGTTTCTATTTCAAGCAAAAATATGTCTTCTTTAACCTTCCACTTACTGATAAAAGCGAGCATTACCCGTGCATCTGGTAACAAGATGGCTGCCAAATAAGTCTATTCTGTGTTTTATTTGACTTTGTGTGTCATTGGTTCAGAGCATCCTTTACCTATGTCGTGAAAGTGCCTACAGCAAAGAGTGTCCCCAGTCTCTCCTCTGGTTTCTCGCACCATGTACAACTAATTAGCAATCGAGTAATGTGGTATTTATAGCAAGAGCACCAGTGATACAGATGTGGTCGAGTCTTTGAATATAGAAAATATGTGCAATATGTCTTGGGATGTTTGTCATGTGATGTTCTCATGTTCTGTTTTTCACGTGTCTAGAGCTGGTGTCCTGGATTCAAATCATTCTGTATGTTATTCTGTAGTGATACAAACTTTGGGTGTTTTATCTTTTTACATCTCTGTTGTCATTCCTGTTATCCAAAATAAGTCTTCTTATCTTGGACTGACCTAAAGACAAGTGACAATTGCCAGGAAATCAGTTTTGCATGCTTGATGTGTGAACTGTGAACTTAACATTGTAAACGGTCTGTCTCAGTAATGTGTTGAGTCTGTGTGTTTAATCTGTTAGTTATGGCCAATCCAACACACATTACTGGTGTAAGGGTGTGTAATTAAAGATGTACTGTGTAACTTTTCTGGTAGAAGATACGCCACCTGCTTTTCTCTGTGGTGATGTTGCTGCTTTGCCTGGCATATTCCACACAAAATTTAACTAAATTATTTTGTTACAGCACTACAGTTTTGTTCTTTGTTTAGAGAAACGAAACTTATTTATGTGACACAGTTCACATTTTCACTGTTTTGATGATTAAAATGTTTGTGTTTCATATGAACTTTGCACAAGAAGTGGTTTATCAAAGACTTTTAGTACCCCAGCCACGATTTAGCCTTTATTTTTTACTGAACTGTATTGAATCGTTTTGAAATATATCTTATCGAACCGAACATGCACTGTATCAAGATATGTATCATATCGAGGTATGTATCTTATCGGCAACTTCTTAATGATACCCAGCCCTAGTATGACATTAAGTTACAGGTCAGATCTGTGGAGAGGCAATGCCGCTCACCGTAAGAATCAAAGTTTTTCCAAAGTATTTTTCTATCTTCACTTGTAATTCAATAAATGCAAGATCATTATGTTTAATTACGAGGAATTATGAGGAAGATTTAAAGCAATAACATCACAATGCAGACAAGCAGGGGGTGTAATCTCTATCAGTAACATTACATACCGGTAATGCACCTTTAAATTGTTTTTGGCCAGCTATAAAAAGTAATTTTGCTGAAGTCGACCTTAATTATGATGCAGAGAAATATTCCTTAATGAAAAATCCTCATGGTTACATAATGTCACACCTCTACTTTATTTTATTTAAGGAGTGGCATACCTAACAAAACTCTCAAGCATCTCAACTATTAACATGACAAACTAATTAGGGCATTGTTGCATTAAACACATAGAAGAAAGAATTTATAATCTGTCAATCAGTTGAAGGTTAGTATTTTTTCATGTTAACAGAAAGTCACTGGCCTGTAAATAATATAAGAAATTAAAGTGCATAGCTAAGTGGCTTGTAGTTCAATATTAGTAAAGCCCTTAATGACCCAATACACATCTTGTATTATAATGAACGTAGCCACACTTTCTAGTAAAAATGCCATGCCTGCAATAAAGGGATATTGTGCATCCCAAGGGGCTTATGGTATGTCCTTTTTCTGCTGGAGGAGAGTATAATTGAGCAGATAAGAGGAGATGCGCCGATTGGAGCAGGACTGGACTTGAGTGTGGTAAATAAATAGCAGCACTCACCACTTCTAAGACTGTGTAGGTGATAATTTAACTGACTACTTCTGTGGACAGATGGCACCGAGCCTCCTACAACTTAAATTTTGCCCAAGCTGTGAGGGCCCAGATCTTATGTAATAGAAATGCACCAACTTGGCACGATACTGATAACACAATCTATGGTATTTTATCATAACACCTGTTTATGGTTGTAGCATCTCTAAAGTTGCAGTTACAGTAATTCCTAGTCAATAGTATAGAATATCTGATGAATCATTGAAGGACTTTGATCCAGTTGGATTCAGCAATATTTTTCCTGTATCTACACTGCTGATAAAGTTCAAGCTGGTTTGATTGCATGGTGTCAGTGAGTGTTTTGTTTTGTTTTGGTTTTTTTTACTTTTCTGGTGAGGGGTCCACTACCTACTTGTTGCCTGGAATGTTCCACGGTATGACTTTAAACATTCCCATCGAGCATTTATTCATCATTTGTCTTTCTGTTGCTCAAAAATACAAAAATTCCTTCTGTCAACAAGGAATCTGATATGAAT